GTTGTGCGATAATTCAGCTCCTTCAATATACTCCGTCTCGAGACCCTGGACGACACTGTTATCACTGTGGTCTTCAAAAACTTCATTCCGAAATCCGGAACCTGCTGCGGCCGAAACCGAATCAGCCTGAGCATGAGCGTAAACCTGAATGATAAAAAACTAAAACTTGCGTCCCAAACGCAAACACTCTGTGTTCTTGGTCGTCTAATGTAGCGTCATTGCAATTCATTTTCAATTTCATCATCATCTGTGTTTTGTGATGTGATAGATTAATATCAAACGAAAGAGTTGTGCTCATCTATCTCTTTGCATCACAAGCAAAAATGTATGGACGAATATTGTGAGAGAACTATTCTATTAGTCGGTCCACTACAAATATAAAACAAAAAAACAAAAACTGCCTACCGCGTTAACATTCATCTCGTTCCCCTTTTTCTCGGCAAATGTCGAGCTCACGACCACATCAGTTCGATCTTCTTCTTCTTGTTGTTGAGTATGAGTATCCACATGATCATCAGGAGAGGGAGACTGGATATCCACACTATCAGGAGACTGAGTGCTATACGAGTCAAGATCACTACTTTCTGCGGGCGTGTGACGGCGGACAGCTTTGTAATGTTGATTATGTTAGAGCTCAAAACAATTCATTTCTTGCCTACATTTCTTTCCATCCTAAGAACGAAATAGGGAGAAACGACTTGTAGAAATCAAATGAAATATATTGAGCCTTAATTATGGTCTTGAGCGACCCCTTCCGACGACGAGCTTTGCACCAATTCGAGGAAGGCCTCCTGGAACATTTCTCGTGGCGTACCATAGCCATGCCTTCTTCTTCGCCGCCTGCTTTTCTTGGTCGCTGTTTTTTCGTCAGCCACCTTGGTATTGCCATGCTCGTCCACCTCCGCAAGCCTTGCCACGACAAGACATGGCGCCAAACAAGAGAGATAGAGCAAATAACGCATTTTGAGTTTTTAACAAGGCCGCGTCCGAGAACAATAACGGCCGCGGCGCTCCTTAGGTTTGCAAGATACTGAGCACAAGCACAAGTACTTCGTGCTTAGATCTTTTCTTGTATTTCATCCTCAATAGTAATCCCAATATTTCCTTTTCCTTGTAGTTATAGTCTAGGAGTTACTCATCTCCTATTTCTTTCTCCAAGATTCAGATGGATCTGTGATCTTTCGCTTCGGATTCTTGAGCTGCGGTCATCTTGATCTACTTCACCGAACACAAGGAAAGCTCCAACCTCGTCATCTTGAACTGAACCTGGAACCGAACACAAGGAAAGCTCCAACCTCGTCATCTTGAACTGAACGTGGAACCGAACACAAGGAAAGCTCCAGCCTCGCCAAGTCTACTTGGATTTACGGCATCAACGTCTAAGTACATCTGTAACCTCGACCAGTCTACTTGGGCTTGGATTTACGGCATCAACGTTTAAGTACAACTGTACCCTCGACCAGTCTACACTTGGGCTTGGATTTACGGCATCAACGTCCTCTAAGTACTGTAAATAGTATAAGAGGCAAAAAAATTCAGAAGGGTCCTCTGGGTCTCAATCTGAAGAAGCACGGGTTTCGTAGTTTCTTCATGTCAAGGACGAATTGCACCTGTTGTGTTGCTGTGCCAGTCGCAAGATATTACGTAAAAAACTCCATTTCGCGTAGAAGTCACAAGAATTTTCTACTTCTACCACGACCTCATCACGACGAACTAATAATCTTCTCACATCTACTTTACTTCTTCTTCGCTTGTTTCTTGCGCTCCTGTTCGATCAGCTTGCGCACTTTCTTATACTGGTTCTTGGTCAATTCTTCTCCGTTC